CTGGACCCGCCTACTATCCTCGGAAACGTAAAATGATTGGCTAGAATCTAAAGTGTATCACAGCTCAGGAAAAAAAAAGCACCGAAATGTGCGCTGCTTTTTGGTCTGGTTACTACCGTTTATGTCAGAACCGGTGCCATCATGGCACCGGATACCGGTACCCATCTCTAGTAATAAGTGAGTTCGTCTATCATGACCCTGAAACTCCAGGGTTTAAACGGACTCCCTAAGCCCCGACTCCTGCTTTCAGGCCTTGTGTTTTAAACATAACAATAAGAAACCAAACAGGAACCCAGAAGGACTTCAGAAAGCACGTTAGTCGATTTCGAGGCATGTGTGTCGTCTCTGGGTGCAGGTGAAGGAAAATGCAAAACACAAAGCAGTAATGCAGTCACACTTTAAGCATAATAAACAGGCTTAGCGAAAGCTCAAAACGGATGATAAAATTACAAACGCCACAATAAAGTTCTTGTTAAAGAGGTTTATTCTTTATATTATTTTTTTATATTCTTTCATGCATAAAGGCGCTCTTAGAAAGTGTGCTTTGGAACACTTTTTCTCCTTTTTGGCTGTGAAAATGTTGCACATACTTACCTTGAGCTTCGATAAGAAGCCCTCGAGTATTGCGAGTGTATGATGGGACACATCCAGAGCCACGGTGATCAGCCTGGGGTCAGCGTAAGGTCAGGTTCAAATCTCAGATGGAGCTCCACGTTTCTGTCCCGCTCTCTGCATGAATGCATGTTTATGACAGATCATATATGTGCATGTATGCTTTGGTCACTCTTACGTATCAGCAGTTTGGGTTTTGTGGGTAAACAGCTCTGTGCCTGAGCAGCTGTGCACAGAGAACAGCAAGCAGAGACAATCGATACCTTTTCAGAGAGCTAAGAGCACCGTGTTAGCGCCATGCACAGGTCCGCTTTTTTGTTGTGTTTCTAATGCAGTCAGGCGTTCGAGAACAGCATGCAGGGTTAGCGGTGTGTTTAGGAACACGAAAACACTGCTGTACAGTCAGCTCTGTCCTCAGGCTGCTGCTGATGGCTGTTCCTTTGTGCTTGTGCCTGTAATGCTGGGAGGTGTCGAGCATATTGATTTCAAAGCAGCGCTGGTTCAGTCTCCGCTCTCACTGCGCTCGGGCTCATTAAAACATATTACTGTTGTTTGCCACATAACTAAGGACCTACTTTTAGGTGCCAGCGCATTGTTCAAGGAATGGAGAGGCAGCAGCTCAGCGTGCATTCAAAGACAGTGAAGCAAGCCTCTTATTGAAAATGACATTGTTGTGAAGCGACGCGCACACAGACAGACACACAAGCTTTTGTGTCCCCGTCTCTCAGGTCAGTTCCCTTCAGTCAGCTTTACTGGCACCGATGGAGGAGCAGCATTGCCAAAACATCTAAATAACTGTTCATTAAATGGTAAAATACTCACTGTGTAATAAACATCAATCACCTGTGGAGGCTGAATTTCTAATAATGAAATATTAGCTTCATTGTATAATTACCATAGCACCAAATGTTTAAATATTACTGGACATTAGTTGACCGTACATACACAAAATACTACCAAAGACCATCTGTGTGTGGTGTGTTCGGTAACTAATACGGTTCCAATAAGGCGTCAGTCTGGACTCACTCTACAGTCTTAAACCGGCAAAAGTCCAAAGCCGAGGTCAAAATATGCTGACAGCTCTGCTGTAAACTGCCTCATACGTTTTATGGCAGGCGTGTTGTAAACGTTTCATTTGAAAAGTTGCTTCCTGTTTCTCCATGAATATGGAGATTGTTGCTCTGCTTTTGAGGATGGTGCACTTTATATATGTGTATGTTGGTGTATCAAACCACCAACCTTCTGATCAGTAGATGACCTGCTCTACCTCCTGAACTAAAGCCACCCTGTCTACATACATAGATATATCTATTAGGGGTGCAACGATACACAAAATT